ATCAGAATGAGTAGGATTCACCAACAAAACCTAAGAGTACAAAATGCTGCCATGATAAGACACTTAAAATATTTTATAAACTTTATAAACTGTAAAATATACATCATCTACAAATATTCTTTTTAGAATGGCCAAAGGACTGTATAATTTCCAAAAGTTTCATCTAAATAATTTACTATAATGGTCCAACAAATAAATCTCTAGATAATCAAATTTAGTTTCCTAAAACAATTCAATTTCTAAAAAGCTAAAGTGTTAAGCTCTCCTTAAAATAATAAACACATTTAAAAATCCATGTTCTCTTCCTATTTGCCAGTTATTAAATTCATTTTAAAAATATATTTTTAAATCCATACTCTACCAAACAAAGCCAGTTCTTTCACCATCATTTAAATATATTCCTACCTCCTCACCTCTACTTAGGCCATTGTTTCAACTTCTAATCCCTTTACCCAGCTCCTCACTATTCCAACTCAAATCCCATCCCTCACTCTTATCTTCTCTGAGTATGGAAAATCAGGCAAATTTTTTAAAACCTTGTCAGCTGGGGGTGGTGTGGGGTTTAAAGCACTCTTATGTGTAACTATCATGGGAGCAGAAATGTAAGCAATCAAAAGTTGTATGCTTTAAAAAAATCCTGAATTTTAAATTTTATTATTTGTATTAACTGCAGTATTCTAGATTTACTGTTTAGTAGCCTAAATCTTCACATAAGTTTTAAATGTATTAAAAATTTAGGGATTACGAGACCATATATTTTAGAAAATGAGCCCAATATGAAATTTAAAAAATTAAACACCCTTAATCAAATATTTCTATCCACTATTCCAAACTGCTTACAAAGAAATTCAGTGGAAATGATCCTGTGAATTAATATCTACCCTTTCTAAAAGATAACCAACTGGAAAAAGAAATTAGGACTTTCCTGTTACCTTTCTTACCACGTGAAAAATGCAGATTATTCATTCTAAAAATAAATATAAGCTTTTGAATATATTTTTATAATATGGATATTATGTGAATCACTAGGTTTGGAATAAATACCATTAAATGGAGAGTCAAAGTCAACACGATAGAAATATAAATCCAAATTCATATTTCAAAAGGTACTTAGTGCTTGCTTCAGCAGCACATATACTAAAATTGGAATGATACAAAGAAGATTAGCATGACCCCTGCTCAAGGATGACACGCAAATTCATAAAGCATTCCATTTTTTTAAGGGACTTCTCCACAAAGAAAACACAGCAGAGGTCTTAAAAATGTTTAAAATGATGAACACAAGAATCTCTTGGCTACAAGAGAGAATTTTCCATTACAAAACTGGAACGTTAGATACAAAATTATTAGTAATGGTTGTTACCTATTACCATTTATAGGTAATGTACATGAGCACATACAGCTTTTTTTAAATTAGAATTTAAAATTCCCATTTCCTCACTCTTTCCACCTTTTCTTTTTTTTTAATACGTATTTTATTATTATTATACTTTTAAGTTCTAGGGTACACGCGCACAGTGTGCAGGTTTGTTACATATGTATACACGTGCCCTGTTGGTGTGCTGCACACATTAACTCTTCATTTACATTAGGTATATCTCCTAATGCTATCCCTCCCTGCTCCCCCCACCCCACGACAGGCCCCAGTGTGTGATGTTCCCCACCCTGTGCCCAAGTGTTCTCATTGTTCAATTCCCACCTATGAGTGAGAACATGCGGTATTTGGTTTTCTATCCTTGCAACAGTTTGCTCAGAATGATGGTTTCTAGCTTCATCCATGTCCCTACAAAGGACATGAACTCTTCCTTTTTTATGAAGGCATAGTATTCCATGGTGTATATGTGCCACACTTTCTCAATCCAGTCTATCATTGATGGACATTTGGGTTGGTTCCAAGTCTTTGCTATTGTGAATAGTGCTGCAATAAACATACGTGTGCATGTGTCTTTATAGCAGCATGATTTATAATCCTTTGGGTATATGCCCAGTAATGGGATGGCTGGGTCAAAAGGTATTTCTAGTTCTAGATCCTTGAAGAATCACCACACTGTCTTCCACAATGGTTGAACTAGTTTACAGTCCCACCAACACTGTAAAAGCGTTCCTATTTCTCCACATCCTCTCCAGCACCTGTTGTTTCCTGACTTTTTAATGATCACCATTCTAACTGCTGTGAGATGGTATCTCATTGTGGTTCTAATTTACATTTCTCTGATGGCCAGTGATGATGAGCATTTTTTCGTGTGTCTGTTGGCTGCATAAATGTCTTCTTTTGAGAAGTGTGTGTTCATATCCTTCGCCCACTTTTTGATGGGGTTGTTTGATTTTTTTCTTGTAAATTTGTTTAAGTTCTTTGTAGATTCTGGATATTAGCCCTTTGTCAGATGGGTAGATTGTAAAAATTTTTCCCCATTCTGTAGGTTACCTGTTCACTCTGATGGCAGTTTCTTTTGCTGTGCAGACACTCTTTAGTTTAATTAGATCCAATTTATCAATTTTGGCTTCTGTTGCCATTGCTTTTGGTGTTTTAGTCATGAAGTCCTTGCCCATGCCTATGTCCTGAATGCTATTGCCTAGGTTTTCTTTTAGGGTTTTCATGGTTTTAGGTCTAACATTTAAGTCTTTAATCCATCTTGAATTAATTTTTGTATAAGGTGTAAGGAAGGGATCCAGTTTCAGCTTTCTACATACGGCTAGCCAGTTTTCCCAGCAACATTATTAAATAGGGAATCCTTTCTCCATTTCTTGTTTTTGTCAGATTTGTCAAAAATCAGATGGTTGTAGATGTCTGGTATTATTTCCGAGGGCTCTATTTGCACAAACAGTTCTTTAAAAATTCCCCAATAAAATTATACTATAAAATTATATCTGATAATTCTATTCTTTGTTTTAAAATTTGACTATAATTTAAAATTTTTACTTTACATTTTAATATAAGAACTTTGAATCTAAAAGACAAACACAAAAACAAGTATCTATACTACTGTGCAATAAAGAAACTAAATCATCTTCCCTCCCCAACCTTTTAATCTGGAACCATTCCTTGCCTGTTTTGACTTTTAGGACATTGAACATTTTTCAGGAGTCCAGGTCGTTGTCTTAAAGAATATCACACATTCTAGATCAGTCTGATTGTTAATGTTAAACGTTTTTAGTAAGAGTACTACATTGGTAATGCTGTAGTACTCTTAGTAAACCTGTTGTAGTACTCTTACCCTGCAGAGGTAAACCCTCATTGAATCACATCAGCATTCACATCATGTAAGCTCCTCCCACTATTGATAATTCTGTTGTATGAGTTGGTTAATGGAGCAAATGCCAGATCTCATCATTGTAAAGGTACATTATTTTTTCCCATTTGTAATCAGAAGTAATCTATGAAGTGAACCTTTGGCATTATGTAAACAAAATGGGTTCCTTTAAAATTTGTTTATGTGCTTTGTCTGAGAAGGATTACTTCTTAATCACAGGAAATCTGAACTTCTCAGACCTTCCCACTAGACGATGCTAAATTTTTTCAAAGGCCATCATTTAAGGTAGTGTCTGCCAAATCTCTCCATTTTAAGTGCATTTTTTCTTTTGTAATTAATAAGCAACACATGAGGCCATGTGAATATCCTGTTCCTCAAAAACTTTCAACTCAGTGTTTTTTTACAATTACAGTCTTTTAATTATAACGTAATTGTGTGCCCATGCTAAAGCTTCAAATTTAAAGAACTACGAAAGTCTCTTCCTTATCCTACTCCAGACTCCAACTCACACTTTTGTAACATACTTTATGTACACTCTGTTAACCACTCCTTGTGCATCCTTCTGGAAGTTTTCAATGTATAAACAAACATATACGTATTTCTTGTCTTCTTACCACAAATGGGATCACAGTACATATATTGTCTTATAACTTTATTTTTTTTCGCTTAATATATCCTGCACGTCTTTCCTATCAGTAGGTACACATTCATCTCATTTTTTTAATAACTAAAGAGTATCCTACTTACCATTATTTCATTAGTCTTTTTAAGTATACATCACTCTGTTCGTTCACAGTTTTATACAATTTCCAACAATGTTACATTAAACATCCTTGTACATATAACTGTTCATGTTTTATGTGAATACACTTGAGTAAAATTTCTAGAAACGTAACTGCTGGGTCCAAATGCATGTGTAATTTCTTTTCTTTTGATAAATACTGCCAAACTTTCTCTTTAAATTGCATTAATTTCTGCTGTCATCAATAGCAATGCTGTTTCCTCATCTCTTCTTCCTCATCAACACTGGACATTAGCAAATTCTTTAATCTTTGCCAGTCTGAGAGGTAAAAGAAAAATAGCAGCTCACAGTCTTTTAATTTTTATTTTTGTAAATAAGAAAGTCAAGCATCTTTTCATGAAATTATTGAATATCTGAAATACTTTATGAATTGCTTATTTATAGGCTCTATCCTTTTTCTATTAAATATGCCTAAGAATAATATTTTAAACAATGTATTTGAAGAAGTGTAAAACAAGTTTCATTATAATATTCATAAAACATTATGTTAGTTGGTAATTTCTACCTAAGATACTCTTCCACCAGAGAAAAATCTATAGTTTCTGCGAGTGTATACTTTGACTACCTTTAATACCCCTTTACCCAAGTGACCTATAGATTGAAAATACTTTCATAAATGTGCTAGAGAATTTCCTATATCAAATCTCCTTAATTCATTTTTTAAGAAATCAAATTTCCATAGGCAAGTAGTAGGAAACAATTTAAAATTATGAAATCAGCATATTGATCTTTAACATTTTAGAACCATTAATTCATCTAGGATTTCTCATTTAGTATGAAACCAAGAAGACATTTCCAAGAACAGTGAAACTAAAAATCTAAATTAAATCTGTCTAGAGAGAGCACAGTACATCTTTTACTGTTATATGAGCTACTCTCTACTTAAAAAGTCAATCTTGTATATACCTGGAGTACACAGTCACGAGCTAGAGTGTGATAAAACTTGCCTGATCAATGTAAAAAGCTGTGCCTGCACGGATCTCTCGTCGCTGTTTGAGATCAGTCTCAGTGGTGTCCCTTGAAAGGGCAATGTATTCGACCTCCCGTTTGGTCAGCTCCTGTAGAGAAGAGAATGAAATTATTCCAAAAATAAAATCAAATTTCCAGCATATGATTTGGAACAAGTTATCTGACAATGCCACTGCCCTTGAGAAGTGCATTTTTAAACCTAATTCTGGATTGAAACTTGTTGAGTCTAAGCTTTGAGAAAAAATAAATAAATTGAACGTTAATCAAAATATCTATATATTCTCCTCAGAGCTCTTCTTCTATGGCACTCAATCCTACTATTTAAGCAATAATAATCAAAATTCAATTTTACAAACCTTAATTTTTCCTGTAGATTTCCAAATATAATGAGCAATAATTTGACAGTATTACTATTTTGTTTGCCCACAAACTATAGCCATTTCTATAAGTAATGTTCATCTTTTTTAAAGGGGTGATTTAGATCAATTTATTCCATGGATCAATGTTTGCCAAGTGTATACAGTATGTCAGGTACTTTACCAAATGTGAAAACAAGGTAAAAATACCAATAATCAGCTGGGCGTGCTGGCTCACACCTGTAATCCCAGCACTTTGGGAGGCCGAAGTGGGCAGATCACTTGAGGTCAGAAGTTCAAGACCAGCCTAGCCAACATGGTGAAACCCTGTCTCTACTAAAAATACAAAAATTAGCCAGGTATGGTGATGCGTGCCTGTAGTCCCCGCTACTCGAGAGGCTGAGGCAGGAGAATTGCTTGAACCCAGGAGGTGGAGGTTGAGGTTGCAGTAAGCCAAGATCACACCATTGTACTCCAGTCTGGGCAACAAAGCAAGACTCCATGTCAAGAAAAAAACAAAAACAAAAACAAAAAACAATAATCAGGTAAACAGAAGGTAAACACACATGTATAGTTGTAAGAGAAGTAAAATGAGGATTTAAAAAAAGGAGAGGAAGGAGGTGAAGAAAAAGGAGAAGGGAAAGGAAGAAGGAGAAGGAGCAGGAGGAGGAGAAAAAAAATTTTAAAAATCATGAGATTTGAAGGGGAAACTATGCAGAATTCTTCTGTTTCAAGATAATTTATCCATCCTTAAAAATCTTTTGCCCTATAATCATGTACAAAAAGTTTTTAACGTTATCTTTGGTTTTACAATGTTGAAGTAAAAACAATGACATTCTCTAATCAAATAAGGCACACAGTAAGTTTTTACTAAACATGGGGAACTGATTCACTGAAGCGTAACAGAAAATGGGAATGAACGTGCCATTAATGGCAAAAAGGGATATTGCCATACAAGGGGATATTTTTCTCCATCCTATCTCCATATGCTACTGATAAAAACATATTGTTGTAATTTACATCTTCTTTAATGTGCTTGTCCCCATGTTACATAACTTTATGTATATAAAGGAGGAAAACAAATTTTTTCTCTTTTTTTTTTTTTTTTTGGAGACAGTCTTACTCTGTCACCCAGACTGTTGTGCAGTGGTGTGACCTCAGCTCACTGCAACCTCTGCTTCCCATGTTCAAGCAATTCTCGTGCCTCAGTCTCCAGAGTGGCTGGGACTACAGGCATGTGCCACCATGCCTGGCTAATTTTTGTATTTTTTAGTACAGACGGGATTTCACCATGTTGGCCAGACTGATCTCGAACTCCTGACCTCAAATGATCTGCCCACCTCGGCCTCCTAAAGTGTTGGGATCACAGGCATGAGCCACTGCACCCAGCCTAAAAGGAGGAAACATTTTTAAATAGAGAAAATACAGAGCAGTGGCAAAGATGTGGTGATACCAAAGGATGTTTCCCTAAAAACAAATGAATTGGCTGAGAGAGCACAATTTTGGAGTAGAGTAGCAATGTCTCTTGTTGGCAGGTATTTACTTCTTGCTTCTGGAACACATCACTAGTATCTTCATGTCTGCTTCATTGACTGGCTGGATGTGATCTCCCTCAAAGAAAAACCCTGTCATTTACAATAGGCTTCCATTGGTTGACAAAGTTACATATGTCTCTTACTGTTAAATTGCACAGAGTTACACCCTGAACTGCTACATGATCATTATCCTCAGCTTCCTTTGCTTCCTTTGCTCTTCATCAGCCATGACAAGCACCAAAGTCTCCTCAGGTGCTGATTCACAAAAGAGGCATGAGTTCATTCACAAACAGCCCCAGGAGCAGCAGATGGAGGAGGGAGGAGTGGTATGATTTTTTTGAACAAACTACCAAAGTCCTTTTATATGAGTTAAGTACAAAATAAACACAACTATGAAATTATTCCTATTTATTCTCTCATAGTTTAACATGCTTGCCCCAAATTTTCTGCCTTTAAACATCTCATCCACTCTGGCTATCACTATACATAGGCTGTTATTCTTAGGGGCAATAGTACTCACTGCAGTGTGCAAGGTGGCATAGGCTAGTATTAAGTTTTCTTATGTGTATCCACAGCTTAAGGTTGCCTCAGCTCCATTCCACAATTTAAAGTGAGAGTGTTGTTGGTTTCTTTTTTAAAGACACAGGTTTCACACTTACAAACCTATGTTGCATTTTTTAAACAACAAGGCTTCTCATAATCTCTTAGTCCCTCTCATTTCACATTCTCAATAAGCTCAAAGCCTTGCCAAAAACAAAATCTCAGTGGGATATTGTGGTCTTTGAAATAAGCAAGGTAGCAAATGCACATCTTAAAATTAAAAAGGCTTGGCTGGGCACGGTGGCTGTAATCCCAGCACTCTGGGAGGCGGAGGCAGACAGATCATGAGGTCAGGAGTTGGAGACTAGCCTGCCCAAAATGGTGAAACTCATTTCTACTAAAAACATGAAAAATTAACCAGGTGTGGTGGCACACGCCAGTAGTCCCAGCTACTTGGGAAGCTGAGGCAGGAGAATCACTTGAACCCAGGAGGGAAAGGTTGCAGTGAGCCAAGACCAAGCTACTGCACTGCAGCCTGGGCGACAGAGCGAGACCCCCAACTCAAAAAAAAAAAAGAAAAGAGAAAAAAGTCTCTAGATCTGTAATTCTCAGTACCTGATTCAGCATTCTTAGATAAGACACTTTTATCTTATATATTCATAAAGTGAGGATGGCTCTACAGTGGCACGTTTTACCTCACAAACTAGTTCTAGTGATAAATAAAAGATACGAAAGCAATGAGCTAGTGCAAGTTAGGCTCTGATTTATTCATGTATTTATTATTTCTGCCCCACATGATTTTTGAAGTACCAAAGAAGATTCACCACTGAAATAAAAGAGTGTACAAAGTAGATTTCAGTAGCATAGAAATCAATCATTTCATAGCAAATAATTCAAGGAACTTAAGTTTAAATAAGGTTTTTCTCTTCATCCTAAAAAACGTCTTCAGAACACAGCTTCATCTGGTGGCATTCTTCCATTAATCATCAGGGTAATGCCTACTAATACTGACAAAATAATGGAAAACACTTGTAAATTTTCTTTTTTTGTTGTTTGTTTTTTGTTTGTTTGTTTTTTGAGATAGAGTCTCACTCTGTCGCTCAGGCTGAAGTGCAGTGGCACGATCTTGGCTCACTGCAACGTCCAGCTCCCAACTTCAAGTAATTCTCCTGCCTCAGCCTCCTGAGTAGCTGGAATTACAGGCACCCAGCACCATGCCCTGCTAATTTTTATATTTTTAGTAGAGCCGAGGTTTCACGATGTTGGCCAGGCTGGTCTCAAACTCCTGACCTCAGGTGATCCACCCACCTCGGCCTCCCAAAGTGCTGGGATTACAGGTATGAGCCACTGTGCCTGGCCACGACTTGCAAATTTTCTTATTTGTGTTGAGATTTCAGCTTCAATTCACTTAACAACAGTTCTCAAAGAACTGTAAATGTTTAAGAGGACAACATGTCAAAAAGGGGAAACATGGGATTTCAACTTTAGTTCTATTATTTACCAGCTGGATAAAGCTTGAGTGAGTTATTTAACCTCTGTGAACTTGTTTTCTCATCTATTTAAAGAAAACACAAAGAGATATGTAACACAGAAGACATACTCTACAGACCTTAGGCTTCCTTTAAAGACTGCATAACTTCCAAAAGTCAAGGGAATTGTCTGGCGTTTTAAAATGTGAGCCTGAGATAAGGGAATGTTCACTAAGCAGTATAATACCAACTTTTGTTTTGTTAACTTCAGACTTGCTGATTCTATCTGCTACTCATTGCCTGAATTTATATCTCTTTTCTACTGGAAGTGGGGGACTTTCTAGTCACAGTAAAAATTTGCTAAAGCTATGAAAGGTAAATATACATTTGACTCCCAAATAACTTATGCCGAACACTTTATAAACAAATCACTCTTTGATGTCAGTATTTGTTTCAAATAATGACAAATTCTGATATTTTTTATAAATTCTTAATCTTATTTTATTTCATAGCTTACAAAGTTCAGACCCTTAGAAACTGACAAGAATTAACTGCTCACCAAGTACTGCATAGCAATAGAGCGTCGAAGAGGCCCAGGAGGTCCTATTAGAAAGACATCTTGCCCCAAAAGATCCTTCTGCATTATCCATCTTAGATGCTGAACTACAGATTGAGCCAGGGAGTCTGAAACTATAAAGAAAAAAGAGAAAATGAAGTGCAAATTTAAGTATTACTTATAAATCTCCAAGTAATGTGGACATATTTATATATATGTATATATAAAAATGTATATAAAATATATGTTTATCTGTGTATGTATTTATAGACATATGTATATAAATATATATAAACATATACATATGTTTATCTGGACAAACATATAGACACCTGGTGAATTTTCACATAGTTTACAATAAAACCATTATTGTCGATGCTAAAACAAGATTAAGTTTATGATATCACAAAGAATTACATATTCCTTACTTGAAAGCCTTCCATAACATTTGAATAATAACCTATAACTGTTCCTAAAGAAATATAAGTTATTGTCAAGGATGATTTGAGGAACTGATTTGACTACTTCAATCACAATTTTATAGTCCAATCTTTTTGTTCTAAAAGAGAGATAAGACCAGATCATCCCAGATAGTTAATGATTATTATACTCTTAGAAAATCCGAGGAAAGCATACTACAACTTAAGTTGGTAATGGGTTGTAAGATCACGGTTAAAAAATTTGATGTAGACTTAAAACTACTTCCTCAGAATTAACTATTTAAGTCTATTTTATACCAAACTCTTTTGTGAATAGACCACCTCATGCAATGCCCTTCCAAGTCTACTATTAAATCACCCTATCAGTGTGCTCATCTTCTAACTAAACATTTTCTAAAATGTTTAAGTTAATATAATTAGTTTGTTTTTGCTCATATATAAATCACCCAGTGAGTCCATTCCTGGGTGTAAAAGAAAAACTCATAACCTTGTACATCAGGAGACACGTAGAAAACTCATAGCAGAATGGTCCAAAATAAAACTGGAGAGAAGACAATGAATAAATACACAGAATGGAATATTATACACAACAAAAACAGAATAAAAGACCCCCACTTGCAATGATATGTTTAACACTTAAAGGTGTAATATTGAGTGAAAAAAAAAAGAATAAATCATGTATAATATAATACCATTTTGACAAATCTCAGTAAACTAGCAAATGAATTCTTTAGAAATAGATACATATGTGATAAAACAGTACTTGAAAAAGCAAAATGGCAAGGGAATGGTAAGTTGATGATAATTGGATACCTAGGGGTAAGGAGTGGCCATGGAATCAAAGAGATTCCCATGTATAGCTTCAAGGATATTGGTAATATTGTAGTTCTTACATTAGATGTGGGTTACAGTGTTTGCTTTATTATGTTGCATTTTATACAGACAGACACAGACATCTATATTACATAACGTCTTTTGTATGTAGTAAATACTCCATATGTGTTAAACTTTGTTTAATCACCCACTGAGGTCACAGATTAGTTCCAAGATCCAACTAAGAAAGTCTAGGACTAAATATCTAGTGCTTCTCCTCCTCTGACAGCACAATATTGTTAGGGTAGTCTCTCCTGTACTCCCCTACCCCAAAGAAAGCAAACATTTAATCATTGGAAGAGATAATTTCTGATTTTCATTATCCTGGAAGATCAAGGACAAAGTTTTGGGCAAATTGTGTGGTTTATCACGTCACTGGGGTCACACTAAAGCATATTACAATCTCCCCAGAACGAATGCCCATATGTCTGAGACTAATTACTCAGTAGAACTGTTTGGTTCCTCTCTTGTTTTTACAAATCCTCTAAGACATGCATCCCTAGCGGGATAAAATCCCTAAGACATGCATCCCTCGTGCGATAAAAGTTGGTTCCTCGAACGGGGACTTGAAAAAAATGTTTAGATGTTACAATAGTTTGTGGTCCTCGGCCAGGCACGGTGGCTCACATCTGTAATCCCAGCACTTTGGGAGGCCAAGGCAAGTGGATCACCTGAGGTCAGGAGTTCAAGACCAGCCTGGCCAACATGGGGAAGCCTGTAGTCCCAGCTACTCGGGAGGCTGAGGCAGAAGAATCACTTGAACCCAGGAGGCGGAGGTTGCAGTGAGCCAAGATCACGCCACTGCACTCCAGCCTGGGCGACAGAGTGAGACTCCATCTCTAAAAGGGCACAGTACATAAACAGATATATAACATATCTATAGTATTCAAATTTCATGGGGTTAAGAAGGAATAATGATAGGGAGAAAACACCCACAGGAGAGTAATAAAGAAAAACAGATTGAAAAATACTGCTCTAAGACCTATACTTTTGAGCAATCTATTAGGTAGTTTCATGATGCTAGTATGCAACTGGCCTGAGTCTAGAGAGTTAATCTATAACTATCACATGCCCTTTTATCTATTTTCTTTTCTGCTTGAAGCTTAAATCAATCTTTATAATATACAGTCTATTATTTCTTGCTTCAAGACAAGTCAGCCTCCTTGCTGCTTAAGGATGAAACAAAATAAGAGTTAAGACACCTTAACTTCTTTATTAGTAAAACTACACAATGTTCCCCATGATGCAAATCTATTACCTCTTCCTATTCTGATATCAAACATATAATTAAAAACTTAAACACTTCGGGTTTTTTCTTTACATTTTCATAAATCTCAGCTTAGTTTGGCCACAGGCATTCTCTATAGTACTCTCACAGTTTTGTGTCACTTTGTATTCAACTTTGGCAATGTGCCTGACCTTCCATTACCTGGACTTGATAATTTAAAATCCAAAATTTGTAAAGTTCTAGAAGGTAAAGCCAAGTTGGTTTCTTTAACTTCCTCCCACCTTTTATTATTTATAACTATTGGTAACTATTTATAATTATGGAGTCTCAATTTAGTTCTATCCTTCCAGTTCATTTTGAATGTTTTGACCTTGGAACCATATTCATTTTCAAGATTTTTTAAAATTTAAGGTAGCAGTTCCTAATCAAATGTGAGGCCTGCCCCTCATAAATTTTCTGTATAATAAAGTGCTGATGTTTAGGAATAACTTATCTTTTCATTTTTTGAAGCAAACTGGAGCAGAAGTGAGGTTATAGCCATAATAATAGAGCCATTTATACGCCAGAGTACTTTCTTAAATAGAAGAGAAAAGCATGGAGTTATGTAAAGCTAGAGCCCTGGGAATTATGCATAATCTTGTTTATGCTCATAGGAGTGTCTTTCACTTCAGCATGATGCACATGTACTGAGAAACACTGCCCTAAGGCACATCTGACTAGTGTCAGTCCTTCCTTTATTCTTACCACTCAACAGTGGTTCTCAACTGGTGACCATACTGCTACCATTCTAGGCCTGCCAGGAGGCATTTGGAAAATGTCTGGGAGTACTTTGGGTTGTTGCAAAGCCTTGGGGAATGAGAAATAATTTGATACACCACTGATATTTTGTGATGGTAAATGCAATGACCAAGACAGTCTCATCCTGCCCAGTATGTCAATGGCAGCATAGCTGAGAAATACTGTGTAGTCATTATTTTTTCTCAAGGCCTCTGTTGCCTGCACACCACTGAGTTTGTCACAATTAAGCCCAGAGAAAGAGTTTCTCTCTATTTCCTTTACCTTCTGAAAGATAAAACTTTTAGGGAGGAAATCAGTGGAAAATAAGTTATACCCTTAGATTAAGCCTGTAGGAGTTGTAAGGATATCTAAGGCTCTCATCACATTCCAATTTTACATAAGTATTTTAATACATATAAGCTACCTCTGAATCCCACGGCTGGCCTTGTAGTCTATGGCATACCTTCACGAAGAACACATATTTTCCCTGCTTTTATTCTCTCCCAATAACAATACTAATAATGGTCATAATTTATTGCATTCCTATCAATTAACAGGTAAACATACAAATGATTTTTCATATAGGATCTCATAACAATTCTAGAAAGCAGCAGACCTATTGTATAAGGACACAGATTCAAGACAGACTGGTTGGGTTCAAATTCCAACTCTACAGAATTTACTAGCGATGTAACCTTAATCAAGTTACTTAACCTCTCTGCTCAGTTTCTTCATCTGTATGATAGATATAATTGTACTTACTCATAAAGTTGTTATGAGGATTATATTAAACACTTAGAACACTGTCTAATAGTAAATGCTGTGTTTATTAAATACTCATTACTCCCATTTTACAATAAGAAAATCAAAATTGGAAATGTAGTATCATTTCTCTATAGTTGGTAAGTCCATAAACCAAGAGTTACACCTAAGCCGTTTAAGTCCAAAACTTGTATTTCAGTCATTATACTCTACAGACCCGTCAAAAGCTTTTCAACAGGTGTCCAGCTTCAGGTGCAAGATTTTCCCTACAAGTGTGGACCTCTCAGGGCTACATCAAATTCAGTGGACTCGCTGTTCCAGCCAATAGTTCTACTTCTTTTTGGTGGTATCAATGATATGTTTTATTTCTTTTATTAAAATTTCAAATTTATTTTGTAGTGAATATTGCTATCGGAGGATCTCCTTCTCAAAGAAAATCCAACTTTCACTTATTCATGTTTTAGTATGGTGTATTTTGTCAAAAAGCATGTCTATATTTAATGTGTCAGGAAATTGCACTAAACTACTGAAAGAAAGCATCATGCAGTGCTATGTGGTATCTGTGGTATATTTTACATTAACGCTTGAAACTAGCTGTATTTTTAGAATGGCCTCAAGAAAACATGAGTCATACTTAAAAGCAAATGCCAGAAATAGAAACAAGATTTAAGACTGTACATTACGAACATCTGCAAAACAAAGTGCCAAACCACCATACATAACCTAATCTACACATAGCAGAGTGCACGAGAGAAATCCCCAGCTTCAATGTTTGCAGGCACAAGCTGCTACCTTCCAGGAGTCCACATAACAATACACTGATGTCAAAACAATCCCAAAGAGCTTGATCCTATATTCTAAGATTCCTTTTCTAGGTAAAGATAAAAACATGTAGTTCATGTTGGCCTAAATCCCAGACTCAATTCCTAACCAATATTTGTTTTCAAAAAATATGTGCTATTTTTTGCCCGGCCATATTCAAAGGCTTTAAAGTAATTTTATCACAGTTACCTAAATTATAATTTTCTCCCTTCATGAACTCAAATTTTCATTT